AGCCGCCTGCACTACTTTGTATAAACTTCATAAGAGATGAAACCCTATTCCCATGCCTCCATTGACTTTCACATTCAGACTGATTGTACATATATATTTTACAGTTGTACACATAATGCTAAGAGCACTTTTCTTCATATTTTACAGAGGCGTGAAACATACAGACTTTCTATTAATATCTATACCCATAGTATATCCAAATCTAACTCCTAAATAGATGCATTACAATTTGTTTAGAATTTAAAGGCTTAATGGCAAAAATCAGGGGAGGAAAGAGTATGTAAGTTTATTTTACATAACTGGCTGAAAAATAAATTTGAGAGATAGTAAATATAATTTAATATGGTCTCATACGCCCTGAAGGAGGCCGTGCTCGATTTGGAGGGGTAATGGCTATGTCCAAATAATCGCCTATCTGGAACTTCTGCGACTGCAAGGTCATGGAATCGTCAGTCCCCTTTCTGCCAGACATGGTGCTGCCAATCTCCTTAACTCGATAGCCAGGTCTTTTAAGATCCATAAAAACAATTGCAAAATTGAAGTGTGTTCCCTTCTTTCTAGCTTCTGGGTAAACTTCTTTTACTAAACTAGTTAGTTCTTTCAAAGTTGCATCCATCCAAGTATAGATCTGCAGCTCGCTGGAGGGTAYGTTTCYGCGGGAGAATTCATCCATTCGGTGGTGGCGGCCRTTATTGGTGGTGAAGACTCGCAACAGCAGCGGGCATGTCTTCTCGCGGTCAATTGGCTTCTCTGGCTCTTTCTTAATTTCCTCCTGGGTTACGCGGGATTCCACCGCCATCTTCCTTCTTCGGCCCGCGAGACGCTCGCCCTGACCTCCGACCCCCGCAGCGAGCATGAGCACCTCTGGTTAACTCTTAAGAAAGATGCTATGCTGTGAGAGTGCTTGTGAGAACACTTCATAGCAAAGAACTGAAAGTACATCTCGCAGCTGAGAGCAGATGGCTTACAGCCAGTGAACAAACTGTGACCTCAGTCCGACAACCACAGGCGCTAAATTGTGCCAACTACCAGTAAAGCTTAAAAGATGACCCCAAGCCCCAAATTAGACTGAAATCTGAGACTACACCTTGACTGCAGCCTGTGAGACCCMATTAAAAGACTCAGTTCAACTCTGTTGAGATTCCTGACTCCTGGAAACTGAAATAATAAATGTGTCTTTTTTGAGTCACTAAGTTCCTGGTTCCTGGTAATGTGCCAAGCAAAACAGAAAACAAATATGAATGGGTTGTAGTAAGTAAACAAATGTTTTGATATGATTTGATAAAGCATGTTCTAGCTAATATTGAAWAATCCACACAAACTCTAAATAAGTGTTTACTAATGGTTTTTATTCAGTGTCAAAAACTTGAAAAATGTGGTACTCCCAAGGAGATTTTACAGTTACATTTAAAAGAATCAGTATAATGTATCTGGACTGTATCAGTTACTCAATTGTGTTTTTACATTCAGTGACACATCATAGGATTAATATTGTAACGAAAGAGAATATGAAAACTTAAATTCTTTTTTTTTTTTTTTTGGTACTGGAAATAAAACCAAGTGGGGTTTAACCACTGAGCCACATCCCCAGCCATATGTATGTATGTATGTATGTCTATGTGTGTGGGTATACACACACACACACACACACACACACACACACGTTTATATTATTTAGAGACAGGGTCTCACTAACCAACCAGTTAGTGAACAGAAAATGTCTGGGAAAGGCAGAAAGTTCTAAGAGGATTAATGTTAAAGGGCCATTTCCATTGACTTGTAGGCATATGTGGACATTGTCACACTGAAGTAATATTCAAGATGGAGGTGGGTCATGACTTTTCTTTGTAAACTGGACAAGAGTTGTTGTGAAGGGGAAATGGGGAAGAATAATTTGGGTCATGGCATGAGAGGGTACATATTGAAATTTAAAGTGTGAAAGTAGAATTTCTTTCTTTTTTTAATATTTGTTTTTTAGTTGTAGATGGACACAATACCTTTATTTTATTTTAAATGTGGTGCTGAGGATCGAACCCAGGGCCTTGCACATGCTAGGCAAGCGCTCTACCGCTGAGCCACAATCCCAGCCCTGAAAGTAGAATTCCTTAAAATTAGTTTTTAGAATTTGTTAAAATTCTACACACCTACACATCCCCTAAAAATCATCAATTCTCTAGTTTGAAGACCTTGGTCCTACAATATGTATTTCTTCGGGTTAACAAGTATATCTTATTGTTTTTATTCATGTCCCATCCTTCCCTCTTTTAACACCAGATATGGCATATAATAGACCCTCAGTAAACACAGCCTCCAGGTGGGTGGGTACAGGGAGATTGCCAGAAATAGGATTCCTCTGCCTGCACAGGGCTGGATAACCTGTAATCATATCTTGGCTTCCTAATTCTCCATTAAAGTCATTTCCTATCAGCCATCTTTTGTCACTTTATTACTTTAGAAAGGCAGATTACATGTGAAATAATCCATTTCCCTCCAACAGTTCTAAATTCAACGAAGATTTATGGAACCTTGTGTAAAAACTCTGAGGGTTTTTTTGTAGTATGTATGTGGGGAGAAGTGAGATTCAGAGATAAGAGGCAGCAGATTCCTGAGGTTCAAGAACTAATAATCCAGATGGGCAAATAATTTCACAGACATAAAATTTGGCCATAGGACCATTCATTTTAAACAAGGGTCCTGAAGATCTCACAATTCAAACTTCATAAATTTTAAGATTAATTTGGACAAAGAACTGTGGCAAAGTGATTTCTGTTTAGAAGCTAAAGTATCAACGATATTTACAATGAACTCCCAGTCTCGAAATCATGGAATTCTTGACGATTTTTTTCCCTCCAGTGCTGGGAATCAAACTCAGGGCTTTGTGCATTCTAGATAAGCCTTCTACCACTAAACTCCAGCCCCGGAGTCTTAATGAATTTTTTAATCTGGGAAATTTACATTAGTTCAAAATTTACACATTTAACCTTCTTATAATGCAGATTCTCAAATGTGTGTCTGCCTTGTCCAAGGAAGAAAAGCACTGTTATATTAAATGTTTTCAGGAATCCCCTTATTCTGTAAATTAAAAAGCGGTACTTGGAGTTCTCTGATGTCATTTAGCCTAGTGTCCTGAACTCGATAGGTAGACAACAAATGAGTATTGCCATGAACTCACTCTCAAGGTGCAGCATACATGTGTGGAAATCAGTTTTAGAAAAACCTAAACAGGTCAAGAGAGACTTTTAAGGAGAAGGGGTGCCTGTGTGTGTGTGTGTGTCGCGCGTTTTGTAAATTAAGGGACCTTTAAAATTAGAAAAAGAACAAAACGGGATGGAAGGAGACAACTTTGCTTTGCCTGAGGCTAGAACACAGGCTGAGTATGGCCTTGGGATTTTCATTTCCCCTACCCCCAGTTCAGCTTTTAGGACAAAGAGGGGAGAAGGGGCACTTGTTCTTCCCTCCTTGGTTGGTTCTTCCCCTCTCAAACTCAAGGAAACTGCACAAGGGAAGACACAAAACCCGAACTGAACTGTAAGAGGGCTGATCTGAAAACACACAAAAGCCAACCCAGGGCATTGCCGAGGGACTGATTTGCAGGAGGATGGTCTTCCCAGTGTGACAGGGGTTCACTTGATGCTTTGCCTGTTTCCCTTGTGGCTTCGAAACTTACTTGTCTTTTTTCTTTTTCCCAATCTTCTTCTCCCTGAACTTCTTCATCCTGATCTCTCCTCCCTAATCTCCTTTTCTCTGAATCACCTCTATCCTGGTAGAATCACAGCCTTTGGGATAGGAGTTCCTGTTTTTCTCCTTTTCTCAAAACCATGTCCTAGTTAAAAGATTGGCATCAGGGACAAGGACCGAACTTTTGGCATCCTGAGCAGCAGATCTCCATTTCAGTTGAGAGCAGGAGAGGGGATAYGTAGAGAAGCAGAATGATTCTAGGTCAGAGTTCGGGCCCATGAGTGATTTGAAGGTTGAGAAGGAACCAAAATTAAAATTGAAATGTAGGATCTTAAATTTTATTTTAAACGGTGTGATAGAAGTTTCTAGAGTTCTAGAGCAAAAATGCTCAGTCAATCTTTGAAGGGCACCATAGTAAAGACCAAAGAATGGAATTTTCAGGGTAGTCAGGTGTTCAATAAGTTCTAACCTTGACTTGTTATTAAAATCTTTTGGGGTATTTGTAAAAATCCTGATGCTGAGGTTGACTGCATTGAAATCTCTAATATAACCCTGGTTATATTTTAMAACTGTTCCTCAGCTTATTCCAATGGGCAGTGCAGGCTGCTCTTGGAGGAAATGAGGAGGCCCACCTCTTGCCTTCCAGGCAAATACTTACAACATTCAAATTAGTGTATCCTGAGTCAAACTACTTGATGTTCTCCAGTTTAAGTACTCAAGGTTAGGACTTAATTGGTATTTTCAGTCTATATTCCACAAGAATTAAGAGGGGTCCTGGGAATTAAACTAACCCTAACCCTGGGGCACTTTACCAAGGAGACCTATCCCCCAGTCCTTTTTAATTT